GTGACCAGGAAAACTTATTTAACTGACCTATGCCTGAGTTTTCTCATCTGTAAAATGGAGAGACCCACTTCCAAGAGTTGTGGTGAAGATTGAGAAAATGCTTAGAAAGTCCTTAGGACACAGCCTGGCACATTGCTAGTATTTAGTAAATGCTGGATATTTTTATTAGCATTATTGTTGCTTGCTTTATATCCTTGCTTCAGACAGATTTTTAAAGTAAAAATATAAAACATTACAGATAAAGTTGAATCTCTTTATACCTCTTTTGGATTGCCTTCTAAAGAATTTCCCAACTGCTTTTCTCTTTTTATAAAAGCTTTCTTCTTGTCTACTAATCTAGCTCTCTTAAACTAGTTTTTAAGAACCTCAGAAAATTGTGTCACTTCCTTTCTCTGAACCTAATAAAGATATTCCTTCCCATATTCAGTGTTCTTGTTTATACAAGTTCTAGCCACTTCCTTGCAAGATCCACCCTTCCCCACCCCCACTTTATTATCTTATTCTTCCTAATTGGTTAGAAATATATTTGAAATACTAATTCTTCTTATCAGTGAACAGTGATATTTCCAGCAGGAAAAAGCAACTTTCCCTGGGCAATTGGAGGCAATGTTTTTCTCTTTTGTACATCTTTGGCAATACTCTAAATTTGTTTTTTTTCCCTCTGTTGGTACTCATCATTTCCAGTTGTTTTTAGTTACTTGGGCACATGTTTTCTCCACCAGGCCCAGACTCTGGAAGGCAGATTCCTGTTTTCTTCACCTTTGCATTTTTCATAGCACCTAGTATTGGGTCTCATGAAATAGCGTGCTCAGGAAAAATGGGTTGAATGTATAAAATCTATGATGAACAGTGATAACGTGAATTTTAAAGAGGTAGAAACCATGATTATTGTCTTCTTTATTGTAGGTTTTTACAAGTGCTTCCTGCTTGCACTGAAGATGAGAAACTGCTAATAGATGTCATGCATTTTTTAAATAAGTTAATGAAGGAGCAAAGGAAAAATTCATCAGTAGAACTTCTGAACTGGATTCTAGATTTAGTTCTTAGACATGTAAGTATTGTCAAAGAATTTGGATTTTAGGTTTGATAAGTGATTCATTTGTAAAAATTATTAATATATTATGGAAAAGGATATTTTTTGTATAGACAATGCTTATTAAAGTAGACCACATGCTATAATAGATGGCTCATAGCAGCATGCCTTCCTGAAATGATTGAGAGTGTGTTTATTAAATTAAAATTCTATAGAATAAATGAGACCTTCGATCTTGGTGTTTAACAAAACCTGTATGTGAGCTTAATGATACAACTGTATTTTAACATGGTGGATCTCATTGGACGTTCAAATTGGAATGTGGAGAGGCAGGTAGCAGAGCCATCATGGGCTTATGTTCTGGTGGTGGAGCAGATAATAAATAAATGCATGAAGAAAAATAAAATTGGATAAGGGATAGTGAGTGGCAGGGGTTCTCCCTCAGATACAGTGGCCAGAGAAGGCCTCTCTGAGGAGGTAACATTTGAGAAGACACCAGAATGAGGTGAGAGAATCAATCAAGCAGATGGGTGGGAAGAAGAGATTCGAGGCACAGGCAACAGGAAGTGATGAGGCTTTGAGGTGAGAGTCTCTGACTTGTTTGAGGAACAACCAGGAGGACAGTATGAATGGAGCTGAGTGAGGGAAGGGAAGAGTAATAGAAGATGATGCATTTAATCATAATTGATTTCAACATTATTCATTTTTTAACTAGTTTTCTGTTGATGGATATAAAGGTTGTTTTCAGTATTTTGCTATTATAAATAATGCTGCGATGAATATTTTTACATATATCATTTA